GCAAGTCGGCGCTGGCCGCGCAGCTGGGCGGCCGGCTCGGCGGCGAGGTCGTCAGCGCCGACTCCATGCAGGTAGGCCCGGCGGCGCCGGGTGCGCGGGGCTGGGCGCTCGGGAGGCCGCGCGTCCTCCCCCACAACCCATTGAACCCAGTATGCCTTGAACCCGATACTGGGTGCTGGGCAGGTGCAGAAAGGAACATTTATTGCAAATAAGATTTGCTCTTTGCCGGCAGCGTGGCCTCGTCCCGTGTGCCCGGCGGCTCCGCTCCCGAGGCAGGTCGGAAGCGCCGCTCGCCCGCGCTTCCCATTCCCATTCCCTTTTCCATTCCCATTCCCTCCCGTTCGCTCTCAGCCACGAGCATCCCGTGTTCGATGTGTTCCATGTTCCGTGTTTGATGCGGATTTTACCCTGCTGCGCTTCCACCTCCTGGCCTCCTGTCCTGGCATATTGGCACTTGAGAGGCGTAGATTCAAATTCCCTGTCCTGAATTTAAAGGAAACAATAGGGAGACTCTTAGCTGCATTTTTATTTTATTTTATTTTATTTTATTTTATTTTATTTTATTTTATTTTATTTTATTTTATTTTATTTTATTTTTTACTTAAACTATTGGGAATTGGGAAAAAATTGGGGGACCTCCCTTCCTCATGTGGTCCCCGCTGGATCTGCCAGTGCTCAGCTCCCGAGGACATCCTGGAATCTTCGGCAAGGGCCATGCTGGCCTGTTCCTGGGGCCGGGAAGCAGGGAAGTCCATCCCGGCTTTGCAAAGGTCCTTCCTCCCCGTGACACCTCCATCCTCTTCGCAGCCGTCAGCAGCGTGGCTGTGTCCGGGGGTCCCTGCGTGTCCCCCCACGTCGTGTTCAATCCTATGTCCTCCTCCGCTGGACGGAAAGGGCCTTTACTCCTGTGGTTCAGGCGCAGTGTGACTGCCGGCATCGCGGATGTCTGGGAAAGGGTTGGGAAGAGCCCGGGCCCAGGCTGAGCGCAGCGCCCGTGCTCCTTTCCAAGGCTCCCTTGTGTCCGTGCCTCAGTTTCCCCACATGTGCGAGGAGGCCCTGGTGCTGCCGAGCGGGGCTCCGGCCGCTCCTCCGCGGGCACCGGCTGTGCCGAGGCCAAGTCCCCGCGGGGCTGCCGCCGCTAATCTGCTTTGGGGGCCCGCGAGAGCACAAGGGTTTATCCGAGGCGTGTGCCGAAAATAGCCGCGGCCTCCGCCGCTCCCTTCCCGCAATCCCGGGAGGCTCCCGCCGCTTCCGCTCCGTGGAAACTCGGGGCCTTTGGGTGCCAATCCCGGCTGTCGCTGGCAGCTCCCGGTCGCCTCCGAGCTTTGCCGTTAGCGGCGCCGATGGGATCCTGAGCTGGGAGTGTCACCGTGTGTGGGACGCGGCACCGAGTCAGGGTCAGCGCCCGTCCCCAAAGCAGCCTGTGTGCCAGAGGAGGAGCCTGCCACGCTCCGTGTGCCCAGGGGCTCAGCCGGGCGTGCTGGGCAGCTCTGGCACCGTGGGCACCTTTTCCTGGTGCCTGTGCCAGGCAGCAGCAGGGATTGTCACAATGGAGACATGGACCCTGGGCTCTTCTCTTCCCAGGTGTACAAGGGCCTGGACATCATCACCAACAAGGTGTCCCCCCAGGAGCAGCGTCTCTGCAGGCACCACATGCTGAGCTTTGTGGATCCCCTCGTCTCCAACTACACAGTGGTGGATTTCAGGGACAGAGCCGGCCCTCTCATATCCTTCCAGGCCATGGAGCCAGCCTTCCCACCGCCACAGCCGGGCTGGCGAGGAAGAGCGCCGCTTGCTTCGGCCTCGTGCGCGGCCGCGTGGCGGGGAGAACGCAGGGGCTCTTTACATCCCCTGCCGCAGCAGTGTCCGGAGGGATCCCTGTGCCCCGCTGGGCATTGCCCACCCGGGTGCTGGGCCTGGTATTGCCTGGGCGCAGAGGGGAGCGGCCGGTGCGAGCCCGGGCACAGGTTGGGCAGGGTGGGTTTGTGTCCCTGCGGATGCTCCCTGACGGCGGCACATCGAAGATATCCTGGCCCGAGACAAGATCCCCATTGTCGTGGGAGGAACCAACTACTACATCGAGGCCTTGCTCTGGAAGGTCCTTGTGGACACCAAGGTACTGCTGGGGGGCTCTGTGGAAGCGGGGGGTGCTCCCTGTGCTATCCCGGCTGCGTGGAGCAGATTCCTTGGGGATCGGGCGGGAGGGTCTCCAGGGTGGCGCACGGGAGCCCCAGGCCCCTTGCACAGACACTGGGGGCTGGGGGTGCTCCTGCTCGCGCCGGCCTGCGGGCAGACGGATGGTGCGACCGGGGCCCCCGCGTGCCCGCAGGACAAGGACACCGTGGCCCCCGCGCCCGTCCCCGACAGGAAGGTGGAGCTGGAGCGGATGGACGGCGCGGAGCTCCACCGCCGCCTGCGCCGTGTGGACCCCGCCATGGCGGCCAGGCTGCACCCCCACGACAAGCGCAAGGTGGCCAGGTGAGCCGGCAGGGCCACAGCCTCCCGTCCCCAGCAGGCACTGCCACCTGGCCAGGCGCTTGGGGACCTTGGAGCCCTGCACGTGGCCCCGGGGCAGCTCTGCGGGATCCCCGAGGTGCCCGGCCAGGAAAGCACCGCTTACTCCGGAGCTGTTTGAGGAGCTGCCGTGCTGGCCGGGTCGCATACCTGAGCCGTGGGAACGGCAGCGCGGCAAGACCGGGCTCGCGGCCGAGCCCTGGCCCCGGGGGAGCCGAGAGCCGCCCACCGCGTTCGCACGGCGCAGCGGGTGCGTGGAGGGCTGGCTGCGGGCACCGCTTCCTCCACCGCCTCGGCCGAACGGGCCGGGACGCTCGCCGTGCCAGCCCCTTCCCTGCAGCCCTGCCCGGCTCCGGAGGGCTGGAGCCCCCAGGGCTTGTCCCCGTGCCAGGCACAAGCGGATGGCTGCGCTCCAGCCTCCTTGGGTGCCATCGGCGCCAGGACCAAGGGGTGCTTGGGGTGCTGGGCAGAGCAAGGGCCAGAATCCTGGCCTGCCGCTGCAGGAGAGGGTTGGATGGTGGCGAATGTCCACGGTTCCCTTTGCCAGTGCCCCCGGGGCTGCCAGGGAGATGGAAAAGCTCATCCTTAACCCGGCCTCTGCACCCTGTCTGCCTCTACCTGCAGGAGCCTCCAAGTGTTTGAAGAGACGGGCATCCCCCATAGCGAAATCTTGCACCGGCAGCAGCAGGAGGAAGGCGGTGGGCCCTTAGGGGGCCCCCTGAAGTACCCCCATTCCTGCATCCTGTGGCTTCACGCAGACCAGGCAGGTGAGAGGGCTTTGCCTAGTGGGCCATGGGGGTCCTGGACAAGGCAGTGGTTCCTGAGGTGTTGGCAGGCATGGCAGGGGGCTCGCTGCCCTCGCTCATGGGGCTGGGCCATCCCAGGTGGGCTGGGGATCCCCAGCCCCACATCCTGCCACGCCGGCCAGCCCCGGGCCTCCCACGGGCATTGCTCGGAGATACTGGACTTGTCTTGCCCTCCTCCTAGCCCTGGACGAGCGCCTGGAGAAGCGGGTGGACGACATGCTGGCCGCGGGGCTGCTGCAGGAGCTGCGGGACTTCCACCGGCGCTACAACCGGCAGAGGGTGGCCGAGAACCGGTGGGTGAGAAGCCAGCTCCCTTCCTGCGCCCGCGCCCACCTCACAGACACGCGCAGAGCTTGGGCCGCCTCCCTGCTGCCCTTCAGCAACGAGATGAGGTTGCCCAGGGCTCAGCGAGGTCCTGGGGCGCTGCAGGGAGGTGTTTGGTTCTTGCTCTCCTCCTGGTCTCCCTCAGCGCTGTTCCCACTCCGCACGGCCCCGTCCCCTGCCAAGTGGTGACGTTTTTCCCTCGGGGACAACCCCTTGGTACTGTCTGAGCGCACGGCAACGCTGACGCGGGCCAGCCGAGGGCACTGGGCTCGTGTGGCTGGCACCGCCTGCCTTGACCTCTGTCTGTGGCCTCGTTCTCTAGCCAGGATTACCAGCACGGCATCTTCCAGTCCATCGGCTTCAAGGAGTTCCACGAGTACCTCGTGAGCGAGGGCAGCTGCTCACCCGAGACCAGTGCCCTGCTGCTGCAAAAAGGTAGGAGGAGTGAGATGCAACACTTTGGAGAAGGGCTGGAGAGGAGTAGTGCTAGTGCTAGGGCTAGTGCTAGTGCTAGGAGAGCGTCTAGCTCAGCAGGATGGTGGGAAAGGATCTGTTAGGGCAAGGAGAAGGCTGCACCACTCCCCTCTGCGTGGTGGAGGTTCCAGGTAGTCGGTCTGTGCTGCAAAGGCTTCAGTACAAAGCAGAGATGGAGGCTAAAGCAACCACAGAAACGATAAAAGGCTTGAAAACAAGTCTGGTGCAGCAGGGTCTTGTTGTGTCTACTGCAAAGAACACTGTGGAGGGATGTGATAAGTATTTTAGCAAATATTGAAAGGCTGCGCTCTGGTAAACCGTATCCTGGGCGTACTGTGGAGTCCTGGGCTCCGTTTGCACTGACAATTCGAGTTAGATGTTAGGGTCTGTTCAGGGGCTGTGTTACTCTCCTGACTTGCTGAATGCTTCTGGGGCTCACAGGCTCCTCTCGTGCTCTGTGCTGAGCTCAGCTCACAGGGTTGAGCCCCCTGTCTCTCTTCTTTACTCCCTCCGTCCAAAGGGATCCAGGCGCTGAAGCAGGTCACCAAGAGATACGCTCGGAGGCAGAACAAGTGGGTCCGAAACCGCTTCCTCAAACGTGAGTCTCACACCACATCCGCACTTCTCCCTCCCTGTTCTCTTGCATCGTGGCCCTCCTCTGAGCACGCTCTGCTCTCACCTGAAGGGGCCGGGTGCTGCCCCCCTCCCCGTGTGCCCACCCGCGCTCCCGGTGCCGGCGGAAGAGCCCAGTGGCAGCTGCCGTGCGGATTAGGAGCCGGAGCCCCTTGGCAGCTCCTTGCCGGGGCCACGTGGCCGGGAGCCAGCAGGACTTCCCCATCCCAGCGCCGGCCTTGGAGCAGGGCCAGGAGCAGCAGCTGGGAGCCGGGCACTTGTTGAAAGGTGCTTGGTAGGGGCAAAACCAAACAAAAGGCCAGGAGAAACTCGAGTCAAAAGACAGGCTTTGATCTGGGTGCGAGAGCTCTCCGGGAGCGGGCGCTCGGGGCCTGCGGCTCACCTTTCGGGTGGCAGGTGCTCTTCAGCTCGCTTGTGCTTGTGGGGATGAAAGGCAGCAGCTGCTGGGCACTCGAGTGGCTTTGATGGCTTTGTCCGAGCGGGCCGGTTGCCTGACGGCAGACGAGCACTCGGAGGAGCGGAGGAGGAAGCAGCAGTGGGAGCTGGATGAGGAGATCGGCCTCCTCCGTGCTCCGGCCTCCTGCAAGCACCACTTCGCTTTCCTGGTGACTTGGGGCTTGTCCTTGGGCTCTTCCCATCTTCTCTGGGCTCCTCCGGACTGTGCCGCAGACAAAGTGTTTGCAGTTGTGCAGGGATGCTGGTGGGGAGGGATCGGTTGTGCTGGGATCCCGGTGGGGATGGAGCTTGTCGTGCTGTCCGGGATGCAAAAAGCTGCCGCGGCGCCGGGTTTAGGTCTTGGGTGTTGCTGTTAGCAAGGGAGGTGCCTCCAAAGCCAAGATCTTAGGTGACATTTGCTTCTGAGGGCTGAAGAGGAAACAGATCTTCCTGTTCTTCTTCTGATCACAAGGACCCTGCTGCCAGACTGCCTTGATGTGATCTGCTGGGAGAATGTTTCTAACAGTGATTTTCCCTTTTTCTTTTCTTCTTTCTTTCTTTTTTTGTTTCTCTAGGCCCCGGGCCTAACGTGCCCCCGGTGTATGGCTTGGAGGTGTCTGATCTCTTGAGGTGGGAGGAGGACGTGCTGAAGCCAGCTCTAGAGATTGTGGAGAGCTTCATGCAGGTATTGAATAACCACAATTACCATGTAAGCCTTGGCTCAGAAGCCTGTTACTCAGCAGTCTCCTGACCCTGTAACTTGGCCTCTCCTGCACAGGGCACTGTTCCTGCACATGTGTAGCCTTAGATTTAATTCACTTGCCCTGCAGCAGCAGTGAGATGTGATTCCAAAGCCGAGAATTCCCCCCAATACCTGGTGCCCCACTTGTGTGGTAAAACTGTAGCCTCTAACCTGCTAACCTTAGTACATGGGTGTGAAAAGTGACCGCAGCCTGGGCAAATTTACCTGATAGCAACAGATTTGAGGCACCGTTTGATGTGCAGGGCCGCGAGCCGCCGGCGGCGCCCGTCAGGATGGAGCGCGACGCCCACGAGAACAAACGGAGCCATCGCGTCTGCGACGTCTGCGACAGAGTCATCATCGGGGACCGCGAGTGGGCAGGTAGGGTGTGGCCAGGTGAGAAGGGACCCTCACCACAGAAACTTGGGCTTTTCGAGGATTTTTGGCAGCCCCTGCAGGAGAGCAGCCGTTTGTGAGGCCGGAGGGGCTGTCACAGCAGGGACTGTCCTGCTGCCCCGTGCCCAGCACTCGCTCTGCCCTCCTGCCTCACGTGGGCATCCATATGGAGAAGGAAATCTCTGAGGGGCCACGTTCAGTCTGGGCTGCTGGTCCTTTTTCTCACTTTTTTGTCCCAGCAGGACAGAACACATTCGATCCTACTAACGTTTTCTTGTTTAAAATGACAATTTCTGAATGCTTCTAATCACTCAGTTTCGCTAAAAAAAATCTTTTTTTTCTCAGTAGATTTTAAAAGAGCTCAGTTGGAATCAGCTTAACTTAGTGAATTCATCTACGGTGTGAGTCCAATGCTGAAAACCAGAAACAAAAAGTAGTTGAGAAACAAAACTGGTGTAAATCTCCCCATGCTCAAATGCAGGATATGCAAAGATAAGGAGTGCCTGGGTTGTCAGATTTGAATGAGTCATTTATTTTTATTGAGCCGTGGAGCAGCTGGAAACATAAAGATGGAAGCTGGCTTCAGGTAGGAAGCACAATGAGATCAGGTTGTAAATGTGGTTATTAGTTTAGTGACAGTTATTACTGGAGCTGTGCAAGCGTGGAGGTGCTTTGAAGGAACTTCACCTCTCCCGTAGTCAGAGCACTCTGGAAGTCAACAGAGCCCAAGCTGGTCATGCCTTGAAACAGGGAAGTTTCGTGGCAGAGTGGAAACTCCCCCAAAAAAAGCTGCAATCGCAGCCATGTGTTCTCTAGGGATGCCCCAAATCCTACTAGATGACAGCATTTCTCTGACCTAGACCAAGCTGCATGTTCTCTGCAGCCAGCTGAACTTGGCTCAAATTCAGGTAGGAGGAAAAATGGCATAAAATGTAAGAGCTCGAAGGGAAGTGAAAACAGTAGTGGGAGCTGAGTCAATCTGCAATCTGGTTTGTTTTATTAAACCAAGTAGTTCTGGGAACTGCTTCTTAGTACCCCTCTAGCCATGGAAGAGTTTTGCATTTTATCTAATTTTACAATTTGAGAGGATTGAAAGAGCAGATCTCCCCAGACACTAGCAGACATCAGTCCTTCCTCGAGCCACAGAAAGCTTTGGGGTTGCTTGCAACAAATTATAAGAGGTGAGATTTTATTCCACGCAGAGGGTGACCCTACAGCAGTGTGATAAGGCAGCAACTTTGTATGTAATTTCATCCTTAGGCAGAAAGAAAGATGCCTGGAAAGCACCTGAGGGCCTTGATTCAACAAGCCCGTACCCTCGTTTAATTAAGGCCCTGCTTGAAAAGTTTGCTGCTATAATTGCTGCTCTGGTCTTCTGGAAATAGCAAAACCGCCCTGCTAAGATAATACCCTGGTCTGGTTAGACAAAGCACCTTCTAGGGAGATAACACTCGTTAGATAACGTTATTTACTGCCTCAACCATGTGATTTTTATACAGAAGTTCCCCTCTTGTTGCCTCAGCGTGCCAGTAACAAGTTGAAGTGCCAGCCCTGCCGTATCCCTGGGCTCCTGCCTCTGTTCCAGGCGGATTCCTGCAGGAGTGCTCTTGGAGCCGGGGGCCTTTCCCTGGAGTTATGCAAAAGCCTGAATGTGCTCTGGGCGGCATCCCTGGCATCCGTGGCATCCCAGGTGCGCAGGATGCCCCAGGCTTGCAAATGCTCGACTGGCACAACTGCGTCCTGGATGGGCTGCCTCTTCAGCAACGATGCCCTGCTGCTCTTCCAGCGGTTTTGCCTCGGTTATAGGAGCAAAGACGCTGGGAGAGGCGGAATCTGAAGTTATCTGTGGATAACAGCAGGACTGTGGGCTCTCCGGGGTGCTTGTGCACCATCCTTCCCTGGTTAGGAGGAGGCTTGAAATGGTCATTCTCTTCAGAGCCTGGCAGAAGTGTCTCGAAACAGCCTGTTTGCTGCCTGGGGAGTTCACGCTTGTGCAGGAACAGCCTCGTGTGGGAGGATGGAAACTGCAGGGCCAGGGTGGGTTGGCTGGAGCGTTCCCTTCTCCAGGTTCCCCAGAACTAAACGCCCCATTTGCTTTTTCCTCCAGCTCACACACGATCCAAATCCCATCGGCACCATCTGAAGAAGAGGCAGAAGCTGGAGACGGCCGGTGGTGCTGCAGGCAGTGAAGGGGCCGGCGACAGTGCAGAGCCCTCGGTGGAGGACAGCGTCTCACCTTCGCTATAGACCTGCAAGTGCCTGGGCAAGGGGGACAGGAGCAGGTCCACCGACGTGGCGAGGAAGCCGCAGGTCCTGGGTGGCCTTGAATGCCACGAGCAGAGTCATTTGTTGGGGACGAGGCGGGTGCGTAAGTGACAGGCAAAGGCTGGTGGCTGCGGCAGGTCCTCTTCATCCTGCCTTGTTCCCATGTTTCTGCAGCCCTGCCTGGAGAAGGACTGGGCCTGGGGCAAGACTGAGGAGCATCCTCCCATGCCAAGTGTTAATCCGTGCCAGAGGTGCGGTGTCTGTCCTGCTGGCACATGTACGTGTGCTCCTCTGAGACAGAACCACCCTGTGCTCCTCCAGCTCGGCCGGGAGCAAAGCCCGTTCGTGCTGCCTTCCTTGTGGAGAGGGTCTGCTTTTTCTCTTTTACACGGAAATAAACCTGCAAGATGTTTGTAGGTGCTCCTCCCTATTAAAAAGTGCAGATCTGGGCTCACTTTCTGATCCCAGCTGGTCCAGCTCCCCTGCTCGGGACCCAGGGTCGCCTGTCCAGGGATGGTGCCTTCTTCCAGTCCCCTTTCCCGCAGCTCCCGAGGGAGCTGAGCGGATGTTGCCGGCCCGCGGGAGGAGCTGGCACCTGCTGAACACCAACTTGCATGTGATCCCAGCCAGTTTGCGGCAGAGGGGTCTGTCCCGGTTCGAGCTGAATTCCCCGGAGTTTACGCTGGGGTTTCGCAGCAGGATCCGTCCTGCGGTTGGATCGAAGCTGCCGAGCAGCAAGTTGCGTGTCCGGATGTGCGGCCAGCAGGCAACGCCGCCGCCCGGCCCGTTCCTGGGGGACGGGAGCGCTCGCGGGGCTACCCTGTTCCCCTGGGACCAGGGGTGGGATTATCCGCCCTGTTTAAGTCCGGTCAGATGACCATGCTGTTAGAAATGGATTTAATATCCTTAATCTGCTTAATATGAACTTTGTTATCCCCGCAGATAAATGTTAGTCCCCGAGCACACTGGCTGCTGGCCTGGCTGGTGCCGCAGCCGCCCGCGCGTGGCGGCGCTGGGACATGGGACACAGGCAGAGCTGCCCTCTGTGCTGGCCCCACGCGCCACTTCGGGAGCAGCTGCTCCCACACATCCCAGGGGAGCCTGGCTCTGTCACACACACCTCTCCTATGGCCGAACTGGGAAAAGGAAGGTGGAAAGACGCCCTGATCCTACTGGATGCCGAGGAGCAAGGAGCAGGTGAGGTGTCTTCCTCCGGCAGTGTGACTGGCTCGCTCCAGGAAGGGAGCCAGTGTCTGTGTTACTGGCCTCCCATGGAAGGGGCAAATCACGTGGAGCAGCTCCCGGTCCAGGCAGGAATCACCGAGAAAGTTGTTGTGGTCTCAGGTTTCCGGTGGCTGCCGGGGCCGAGCGGTTTGGGAACGGGGAAGGGCCCTCGGCTCCATCTGCCCTTGGCTAATCCCCAGACGAGCGCGACTCTTCCATCTGTGCAGCCGGAGCCGCCGAGCCCATCGCACCAGCCACTTAATCTAAATGGCTTGGGCCAAAGATAAGGTCATTAATTAGGCTGGGATTAGAAGGCAGCGCGGGCCTGGCTCAGCTCGGCTCTGCGGCTCTCCAAGCGGCCTGGCCTGGCAGGGCCTTGGCGTGGGGCTGCTCCATGAGCCGGGAGGCGAGCACATCCCGCCCGCATCCCAGCCCTCCGTGGTGTCCCCTAGAGCTCCGTCGGGATGAGCCTGGCTCGGCCTCGTTGCCCACGCGGAGGCTCCCGAGCCCGGGGCTGCCCTGGCGCTTGGGAGCGGTCCAGAACCTCCTGCCCTTTCGCTTCCCTTTTCCCGCGAAAAAGCGGCCGCTCTCCGGGGCCGTTCCCCCAGCGCAAGGGCCAGGGACCCTGTGTGGGTCCTGTGTGGGCAGCATTTAGGGGACGGTGTCACCTGGGGACGGCCCCGGGCCTGCTCTTTGCTTCCAAATAGGAGCGCGGGGCCGCAGGACGGAGCAGGGCCCTGGTCCAGCCGCAGGGGAGCGGGAGGCAGAGCCGGGTGCCGCGGGTACCGCGTCCCGGTGCCCCCGCGGTGCGGGCGCTGCCGCGGGAAGTGCTGGCGCAAGAGCCTAAAAATAGAAGGAGCTGTTGGCTGCCCTTGTGCAACCGGCTGGGAGGGGCCCGGGGCCGCCCGGCAGGGCTGGCGCTGGGGCGAGAAGCCCACATTTTGGGGCCGGGAGCGAGTTTTTGGGGTGAAGTCGCAGGGACCCCCGTGCGCCCCGGCCCTTGGTGCCCGTCCGGCCCCAGCTGCCAGCTTCCCGCTCGGAGTGAGCGCCCGCGGTGCCCGCAGCCAGCCGTGCGACACGGGCTGGAGCCCACCGGGATTTCGGGAGCTGCAGGAATTCTGGTGGGCAGCGGGGGCTGCTCCACGGGGCCGGCGAGCGCTAGCCCTGCCCAAAGGTGATGGGCGCAGGGACCCCCGCTCTGTGTGCCCTGCAACTGGTGCCTTCCGGGGCTGGAGGGGCCAGGATCAGCTCTGGGATGCCCATGGGAGCCCCGGATGCTCCCAGGCTGCAGGAACAGGGATGCCGCTGGCTCCTGCATCCGCCTCCCGGCAGCAGCATCTGTGCCCAGGTACCCGTGGGGACACCGAGGCACCGGATGCGCAGGGACACAGGGAAGCTGCTCGTGCCCCCCATTCCGCACAGGGCACCGGGGAGTGGGAGCCGGTGCCACCCCACGCGGTGCCCGTTTTGCCCCGCACGGTGGGTCCCCGGTGCAGGGGATGGGGCGGACGGGAGCGCTGGGGCTGGGTTGGCACCCTGGCCACTTTGTCACGGTGTCACAGGGCCACCTGCCGGCAAAGCCCCGGGCCCGGCCCTCGCTCCCGGTCCCCCCGGTCCCCCCGTCGGCAGCCACTGGCGCGAGTGGCGCCCGGAGGGACCAGACCCGTCCCTGTCCCCTCGTGAGAAATGGCCCGGCTCTGGCCACCAGACATATTAAATGTCATTTTATTTCACACCAAAGAAAAGAAAAGTATCAAAGAAGGGGAGTGGAGATTTAATTGCTTATAGTAAAAATCTACTGGGTGAGACGGAGTCGTTTCCACCGAGGTCAGCGCAGGGCTGTGGGGATGCTCCTTCCTCCTCCTCCTCCTCCTCCTCCTCCAGCGCAGGTCACTCAACATCCCCAGCCCCTGTTGCCGCCGGGATGGGGGTGCCTGGATGCACCCGGCCCTGTCTGTCCCCTCCTCAGCTCCCCAGGGAATGTCCCTGTTCTCTTGGGGGAGGTCCCAATCCGCAGCCTGCTCCTGGACCACTTCATCCCTCTGGAAGCCACCGGCAGCATCGGTGCCCCAGGCTCCATCCCGCCCCGGGCTCCATCCCGCCTGGCCCCAGCACCTCCCGCCACCCCATCCAGGCGGTCACCGGCTCCAGCGTCCCTGGGGTGACACCGTCCCACGGAGCCCAGAACCGGGTGCCAATGGGGGAGGCGGAAAGGGGGAGCGGAGGCGGGGGAGGCCTTGGCCCCCCTCGCTTGGCTTGGAGCGTTATTCCTAATGCGGAGCATTCCGTGTTCACGGGCGGCTATTCTGGGTTATTTTTGTCCCTTCACCCCGGGGACAAAACGGTGACAGGCGCCGCCGCGGCCGGTCCCGCGGCGCTCACTGGAGCAGCGCGCGGATCTGCTTGGACGTGGTGTCATCGTGCAGGTGCCGGGTCGTGTACCTGCGCGGGGACAGCCGTGACGGCCGCGGGACGAGGAGGACGAGGGAGCCGGGGGAGGAGGAAGGCTGCCGGGGGCGGCTCCCCCCTCACCTCAGCGCGTTGAGGAGCCCCTCGGTGCTGTTGGACGGCTGCTCCTTGAGGACTTTGATGCATCCTTTCATCTGGAGGGAGAGGCGGGGAGCCTTCCTCCCCGCCCCTCCATGCAGCCCGCTCTACCCTCCTCCTCTTCACCCAGGGAAACCCCACAGAGCAGCCCACGAGGGGGGCGACACGGGGGCCGTCCCCGCGTGCCCGGCGCTCGCTCACGTCAATCTTGGAGGTCTTGGCGAAGGCGCCCACGGGGTGGACGTGGTCGTAGAGGATGATGACGCCCACCATGACGCGCATGCAGAAGAGGAGGGTCTCGGTGTTGGTGAAGCGGCTCCGATACTCCCTGTCGCCGGCGGGGACACGGGGGTGACCGTGGGTGCTGAGGGGACCCTCCCCGCGCCGCGGGGGCACTCACGGTGTCTCCAGCATCACTCGGCACACGCAGGCCATGGTGCTGAGGCAGTCGGTCGTGTCCTCGATGGGGAGCGTCTTGTTCTGCAAGGAGGGAGCCCCAAGGTGGCCGATCCCCCGCCGTCCCCCAGCCCCCCGCGTCCCGTCCCCGCTCACCTCCGACACGAACTTGGTGGTGGCGTTGCTGAGCGTCTTGAGCATGGGGGTGGCCTCGGCGTAGAAGAGGGACATCCTGTTGGCCATCTCGGTGTTGACCTCGCTCTCGGCCTCCAGCTGCGGGTTGTTGAGCCGGTTGCAGCTGAGCGTGCGGCGGTAGTAGCTGAAGTCGTTCTGGATGGCGGGGTTGGTCATCTGGGCGAGCGGGGAGAGCCGGCGTCGGCCGCGGGGCGCGGAGGGCACCGCGTGGGCGCCCGCGGGGCCGTGCCGAGGGGGAACCTTGAGCTCGTCGAAGCTGAGGGTGAAGTGGAGGATCTCGGCGAACTGCTTGGCCAGGGCCTGCTCGCGCTCCAGGTGCTGCGTGGGCGCGTAGGGCGGGCACGTGAGCGCCTCCAGCAAGCTCCGCAGCGCGTTTTCTGCCGGCAAGGAGGGGAAACGCGGGAATGCTGCGCCCGGCATCCGGGCGCAACGGGCCCGGGCAGGGGAGAAGCCTGGCACCTCACCCAAGCGCAGCGAGAACTCGTAGAAGCGCTTGAGCTTGGCCACGAGCGGACACACGGCGCGCCAGGCCGCCTGCTGCAGCTGCGCGTCCCCGGGGTGCTGGATGGCCTGCGGGCGGCAGAGTGGCTGGATGGACGGACGGACGGACGGACGGGGGGGACGGCCGCAGCGGCACCCACCTGGCGGATCTCGCGGCCGGCGCCCGCGTAGCCGCGCAGCTCGGCCAGCACGGCCTGCGCCTCCCGCAGCA